TCCACATTATCCTTTTTGAAAACTAACGAACCAGTCCCGGTTGGGACACATATGGTAGCTACAAGTTGAATCCTTCAACCATATGTCATATGGAATGACTCAGTTGTAACTAGTGAGAAATCAGAGTCGTCACAATCAGCTACATTTGAATCCATCGCAGTCTTCCCATTGCTAGGTTTGGCCTTACTTTTCAACTATGGAGAGTCTTTCTTCTAGTTCCACTTTTCTCGGCAAGAGGCGCATTCATCTTTGCTTGGTCTAGATCTTGACTTCGATCTTCCTTTCTTCGTTCTCATCTGGTTTTGAGAACGACCTCTCACAACTAGTACTTCTCCTTCTCCACTCTTTTGCTTTTCTCTCTTTCTTTGTTCATAGCTGTATAAGGCAGAACAAACTTCTTTGAGAGATATTTTATCATTCCCATTAAGTAGTGTTGTTTCGAGTGCTCGTACTTATCGAGAAGTGAACTTAATAACATTAATGCTATATCTTCATCACTAAAAATCACGTCCATATTCTGCAAATTTGTCGCTAACTTATTAAAGCTGTTGATATGATCATTCATTGTAGCACTAGGAATATATGTGAAGCGTAACCGTCTTTTTTTCATATAAATTTTATTTTAACTGTTTTTCTTTAAGAATTTATCCTCATTGCATTTCATAATTTACTTGCAGAAGTTTCTTTTGTGTATGGATACTTCTGTTCTCTTGCAAGGTAAGATCGAATGGACCGGGAGTATTTCGACACTTATTACAGAAGGTTGGCATTTTGAAGGTTTAATAATTTCTTAAGTTTGGGTTGATGTAAATTTTGATATTATCGATGTACGTTTGGGATTCCGAGCCTCAGAGTAGTTCCATATGGTGATTTCTATCTTAGGTGCATGTCCGAACGTTGATTTGGAGGTCCGTAGGTCATTTCGGCGTCAATTGGCGAAAGTTGGAAATTTGGATGATTTTTGAGAAGTTTGACCAGAAGTGGACTTTTTGATATCGGGGTCAGATTCCGATTCTGGAAGTTAGAGTAGGTCCGCAATGTCAATTATGACTTGTGTGCAAAATTTAATGTCAATCGGGCGTGATTTGATAGGTTTCAGCATCGATTGTAGAAGTTTAAAGTTTCAAAGTTCATTAAGTTTGAATTAGATGGTGATTCGTGTTTTTAACGTTGTTTGATGTGATTTAGAGGCTCGACTAAGTTCGTATGAATTTTTAGGACTTGTTGGTATGTTTGGTTGGGGTCTTGGGGGGTTCGGGTGAGTTTCAGATACTTAACGGATCGGATTTTGGAATGAGCAAATACCAGAAAAATCTAATTCTGGTGTAATCGCTTCTATGGAAGCAGCCTCGCAGAAGCGAGAAGAAGCTCAAATAAGCGACATGGGCAGCCTGGGTGTGAGGTTGCAGGAGCAGGGTCGAGCAGCGCACCTGCGTGTGCGCAGAAGCGACGCCACTGCCGCAGGTGCGGAAGATGCGCGTGGATGTATCGCACCTGCGATTGCGCAGGAGCGGAAGAACTTCCGCAGGTGCTGGCCATGGACTTCCGCATGATCGAGTTTTGTCTCGCAAAAGCGAGACCACAAGTGCGAAAATATGACCGCATAAGCGGAATTCGTGCTGGGCAGTGATGCTTCTTTAAGTACGTGGGTTTGACCTATTTTCATCTCATTTTCGTCCATAAGAGCCAATTTTGGAGCACTTTTGGAGTGCCATCTTCATTAACTATAATGGGGTAAGTGATTTCTTTACATTATGAGTTAAATATACGAATTTAGGCTTGTAAATTCATGAAAATTAGTATAAATTGGGATTTTGAAGAAAAACCTAGAAATTGATATATTTTTGACCACGCAATTGGACATGAAATTCAGAATAAATAATATATTTGAGTTCGTAGAGTTATGGGTAAAGTTCATCTTTGAAAATTTTTGGAATTCGGACACGTGAGCCCGAGGGCGGATTTTATCGACTTATCGAGTAGAGTTGAAAATTGTTTAAAATGATTAGTTATCAGTATTAAATAACACATATTGATTGATTTGCACATCGTTTGCATAGTTTTGGATCGACAAGCATCGACTCGAGGTGTTAGAGTGGCGTTGGAGCCGGCTATGGAACTTCGGAGCAAGGTAAGTCTCTTGTCTAACCTTGTAAGAGGGAATTTACCCCATAGGTGATTTAAATTAATAATTGTTGCTAACTGTGGGGGCTACGTACGCACGAGGTGACGAGAGTCCGTGCGTAGCTACTAATTATGATATGTCCGGGTAGTTTAGGACTCAAATCATGAATTATTTATAATAATTGCATCATTTATTAATTAAAGTACTAGAATTATATTTGAAATTGTTAGAGGAAATAGTAAAGGACAGAAATTTCACATACTTGAATTTTGGTGCAAATTACTTGACTGTTAATAGAAATTGTACATCCTTATATGTTAGCCTTATAATAACTTCTCATTCCGGAGGTTCATAAGAAAATATCCTCCTTTCTTGTGGAGCGGGCCGAACGCCTCAGCAGTATAGATGCATCTATGGATCATGCCGTACGTCCCTCGGCAGTGTACACAACACTCTGGATCGGGCCATATGACCTCGGCAGAAATCGTGCCTAATAATAATATTACATGATACCTTGACATTCTATTGTAGCTTGTGAAGTTAATTGATTAATTGGAAAATCATTGTTATTCACCTAAACCATGTCTATTTTAATATTATTGACCCATAGTGAGTATCAAAGTCGACCTCTCATCACTACTTCTTCGAGATTAGACTTGATACTTACTAGGTACACATTGTTTACGTACTCATACTACACTTGCTGCATATTTTTGTGCAGGTACATATATGTCTAGTATTCTTTTGGGGCGCAGAGGCGCAGTTATCGCGTGGACTTACGGTGAGCTGCATTCCATGTTACGAATCCGCAACTACAGAATCTCTATCAAAGTTATTCATATACTTCTGTCTAATTGGTATTCCAGACAAATGTTGCATTTATCATATTTTTTCTAGTTGATGCTCATGCACTTGTGACACCAGGTTTTGGGGGTTCCTACTGGATGTTTAATGTACGGTTCACATAACCATCATTGTTTCACTCTGTAAATCCTATTTTATACTAATTAGTTAATGGAAATTATGATTTCAAAGGTAATAAAGATGGGTAATTGAATTAGTAAATTACCGCTGGCTTGCCTGACCACGACGTTAGGCACCATCACGATCTATAGTAGATTTTGAGTCGTGACAATATATATCCCCAAAGGCGAAGCTACACTCTTGTAAGGGTGGTCAATTGACCACCCTTTGTCGAAAATTACACTGCGGGTATAAGTAAAATATTTGTTTTTAAAGGCATATAACACATATTGAACTCTCCTTGTCGGTGATTTTTTTAATTGTTTCTTTCAAGTTTGAACACCCTTGAAAAAATTTCTGGCTTCGGCATTGTATATCCCGCTCTCCATTTCACCCTATGTAATTCAGACTCTGGTCTCAGCCTTCACACTGCAACTCTCGTTCCCCTATTGCATCCCCTCTCCAATCTTCAGTTGCATAAGCGCATCGTTTCTTTTTCTCCTTGTTTTCCTCTCTTTATTCTCCATTTCCATTTTTTCATCTAAAATTTGTAAATATTAATATATTAGCTTAATAAAATTGGTCGGAAACTCCGAATTAAAGATTTGAATAACTAATGCAGTGTCTCTTTAATCGGTATCTTGTTCTGATAGATTCTTCTGCGTCACCTCTTTTTTAATTCTATTTCATGAATCCCACCAAGCACAAGAATAATTGACCATGTTTTGTTTACCACCTTCATGTCTTGTTTGACCACGTTTTCACCCACGTGCTGTAAATGAACCCTAGAAGCATGGGAGTTTGTAAACAAAGCAAGTATAGAAATTAATTAAAGTTTAATTAATTAAATAATCATTTTCATGAACTACCTAGAAAAGTTTCAACCGATCCTAACAACGGCGGAGCTAGTATCTTCAATAATGGAATTCAAAATAAAGAGGTAAATACATAAAGAAGTTAAGTGAATTCAATCTACTATATACGTATAAAAATATAATTCTAATCGTATATATATAAAATATAATTTTTTGACGAAGGAATTGGGTTGATACCCTTGCACCCTGTGGTTTTGCCCCTGAACCCTAAGGCACGGAATCTATCTTTTTTGTTTTAGATATTATTGTTAAATAAGAGCAGGTCCATTTTTTTGGTCTAATGACACATTAAAAAACAACTCGACTGACCATTAAAATCACATGCTAGGTTTTCCTGTGGTCGGCTGGCTAATTAGGTGGGGAAGAAGGGAGAAGTTTTACCATCTCCAAATAAAGCTCTTGGTTCCATTCATGTTTTTATTACTTTGACTTTTGCTTATACATATCAACCGACAGTGTAAAAACAATTTTACGTTATCATCAGATTACTCAAAAGATATATAATCTATCTTTCATATAAATGAAATTTATTATTTTGAAAATTAAAGAAGATATGTAACTAGTGGCGGAGCCAGAATTTTCCCTAAGGGGAGTCAAAATATAAATAAGTAAGCATATGAAAAAATTAAAGGGAGTCAACACATAGTATATATACATAAAAATAAAATATTTAACCTATCTGCGCGGTATAATTTCCCAACGAAGGGGTGTCATTTGACTCACCTAGCCAATGAGTGGCTCCGCCACTGTATGTAACCTATTATAAGAGATAAAAGTGACCTGGTAGTATAAGTTTTTGGCGGTGTATATAAGTTAATTAACATTTTATATCTGGTTAGACTGATGTTCTCACACTAATCCTAGAAATGGATATATAATTACCCCTGATTATTTCCTTTAGCAATTCAAACAATCAGGAACATAAAATAGGTTTAAGATCCAAACAGAAGAAAACTCCCAAAGGGAAAAAACGAAAAACAAATAAGTAGTAAATTAGGAATCCCAAACTTAGGGATCCAAAGAAAAGTCTCCAACAAGTATAAGAAATTTTGCCAGAAAGACAAATGTGGAAGAGTAATTATCACAGAAGCTCCAAAAGAGCTTTCAAATTAAATGTGTCATTTAATTATTTACGATGTCGAGGACAAAAAAGAAAACGAAAACCTAGAGAATATCATCAGAAGGAGGAAATCATGATTGAACTTGGTCCAGAATGTTGATTTGAAGGGCATTTACGATATCTTGCACGGTTATACAACATCCATTTTCCATCTGCAAGGAGTGTAAACAAAAATATATTCATAAATACTTTGCATCAAAGCATACTTTGTTGCAATATTTATATGGTTTTGGGGGTAATTTATTCAAAGTACGCTGTCACATATATAAAATTATCATGTAACTATAGCTATTTCAGCAGCTTAACTTATATAAATCAACATAATACCACTTAAAAAACCAAACAAAAAGAAAAACTCATTTTTCGACCCAACTTATAATTAATATATGTTGTTTTCTTTACTTTGATATATGGAATTTAGTTTCATATCTCTAGTTTGTGTGTGATGTGTAAGAAGGCATCAAGTTGATAATGTTGAGATCTCAAAAACTCTTGTTCAATAATAAGTTCTCCTTCTATCTCAATTTATGTGACCCATTTTTGAATCTGTCAAAAGAAAGAATGATACATATTTAGAAATAATTACTTTGAAATTCTCATGCATTTTACCTTTAATAAAATGATATATAGTCACATATATAACAATAACTTGTTATAGATCACAAATTCCAAAAGTAATTTTTCTTTATTAAAATTTGTGCCAAACGAAAGAGATCACATAAAATGGGACGCGCGGGGAGTGCATAATAAGGTATTTTTGCAGTCTGTTAATTAATATGCCTAATTGAAGATTAAGAGAGTGACCAAAGTACCTCAGCAAGAATTGATATTTCGAGATAAGTACGACCAAATGGCATGATTCTTATGTCATTGACTGAAAGATGCAATTGCTCCATTTCGAACAGTACTTTTCCCACCACCCCATCTCGTTTGTTGCAGTGAATGTTAATAAGTACACTTTTGTCCAAAATCCTTGCCTTAATCTTTGATCCTAGTACTTGGTCGTCGATGCAGTTAACATTCTCCTTTGAGGAAGAGGAATCATTAATATTTTCGCAGGCCGATGGTATGTTTTTCTTTATCTTTTCAAGAACTTTTACCTGTTGTTGAAGCTCCTTCATGTACTCAATAGTATCTCCGAGGATAGAAGACTTGTCTAACTATAAAGAACCAATTAACAGAAAAAGGAAATCATATTATATATGATACTCTCCAAGAATGAAGTCATTAGCTTTGTGTATCGAAGGATTTGTTATCTTTCTGTATTCGAAAATAAATTCTGCAAGGTAAAATTGAAACAAAAATAAAAATGCTAATGAATAACAAAAATTTGAGCTCTCACTGATTTCCTAGTGTGTCTTTAAAGAACTTAATTCCCTCATATTATCCAGGTTTAGAATTATTTTCTCCTAGAATAGAACGGATTAACCACACAAGTATATCAGTACTTCAAACACCAGTGATCCAACAAATACAAATGGCGGCAACAAATTAAATCACACTTACTTTATTATTTTGTAAGAAAATAATGCAGAAAGAAAGAAGAGATTTTTGACTTTCCTAAGAAAAATCTGAGGGCATGGCCGGATATTTATAGCCAATTTGAATGAAGATGTACAACTCAAAAGTTGCAGCCTTTAGGCGATTTTTCGCGAAAATGGCTATTATGAAAACGGCTATTGCCACAAAAACAAACAAAAAAAAACGGAGAGAAAATTAGATCATATCCGATGACAAGCGAGGATGACAACGTGAGACTTGCCTTCTTCTAAATTCTTTAAGAGTTAGAAAAAAGTGCAATTGTATATAAACCCAACAAATATTTTTTCTTTGTCCTATATGGGACAATGTTCATTTGTAAAGAATTTTTTTTTTATTTTTTATTTTCCTTCATTTCCCATTCACACCACTTTATTCCAAAAATCCAACACGATTTATACTCATGAAGCCTATATAACAATTTATATAGTTATTGAATGGAATATTAATAGCATCACAACATCTGAAGAACAAAAAACATAATCTTCCTCACTTCAATATTAATGCTGACACCACCTGAAATAATAATTTCAATAACCTATACTTTTATTGACTAAACAAAAACAAGCTTCTTTTTATTTTACTTAAGGCTAACCATTTTTTTCGCATTCTAGTAAACTTAAACTTTAGCTGGAACGAATGCAAATCTTGTAAAATAATCTAGGGAAATTAAAGCACAGTTAAGTAAAAAAATTAATTAGTTTTCTTCCGCTCTTTTAGCAGTTTTTTTCTTTCTGGAAACAACAACATAATTGTAAGCACGGTACCGAATAAGCTGTGATCGACTATAGTAATTTTCACATGTTGCTCTATCTAAGCCCGTCTTGAAAAAAGATACAAGTATATATAGGAAAAAAGACTAAAAATAAAAGAAAAAGATAGAAGTTTGAGTTGGGATCTTATACCTTCTTTAGACCAGGAACAAGCTTTGACAAAGAAATGAAAAGCTCGCCCATTTTTTCTCTGCGTTTCCTCTCAGCAGTAACATGTTCTTGAGCTTGTAAAGGAGTCCTCTTGTACATAATATTATTATTATTATTATTTCCCCCAGATGCTTGACATGCATTAATTTCTTCCAAATGAGATTTTACAATTGCAATATTTTCTTCTTGAGATGATGAAAACGAAATGAGAAATCCAGAAGAAGACTTTAGAGGAGACGAAGAAAGATCTTTTAATTGATCTTTCTCTTCAATATCAATATTGGAGTAAGAATATGGGGTTAATGATGGATATATATCTTGAGAAAAATTCTGCATTACGTCGAGGAAGAAGTCATCTTCGTCGTTAAAATTACCAGTATATTCCATGCCCTAAATAAGACGGGAACAACAAAAAAGGATATATAGATCAGAAAATAGAAAGCTTGTTAGTATTAATTAATGCCTAAGGTTGCATTTGTTAGTATTAATTAATGCCTAAGGTTGCATTTATTGACCTTATTGATGAGTATCTAGGTTTCTTTCTAAAATGGCGTTCTAATTTTAGTGAAAAAGCAGACTTAGATTTTTCAATAGATTAAACATTAACAGAAGAAATTAAGCTCTAACAAGCAATTAATGAAAGTACTTACAGATGTGTACAGTGTAAGAAGATCTGGAAACTTACTTGAAAAGAAATGATTTTGGAGTTCTTCACAGCTTCCACGATAAAGACAAGAAATTAAGATGTTCAATTCTTCAACATGAAATGTATTCCAAAAAAGAAGGGTTAGGTCTCCATTGAATAGCTCATTATACCAACATACCCCAACCACCCTTGTCTCTCCTCCCCCCCTACCCCCACCCAAAAAAAAAAACTTGAACAAATATTATAGTAATTATTTTTCCAAGTATACTTTCTAGTACAAAATAATCCCACGTGTGAAAAGCTGTCATCTTATCATCCTCACTAGTTCAATAATGTATAAATAAATTAACTCCAGTAATAACTCGCGAACATGATTTTAGTCAAAAGAGGGCACTTCTTTTTTCATGTACATTTCAACATCTTCCAGAAAACTTGTCCACATAAACTATATTTCATATATCAGATGCTATAGGCTACTACTCATACCCTTTATGTCAAAATTTTCAAGTCTATTCATATTTGAAAATGTTCTAGAAAGAGGAAAAAACTTTTTTCCTTCTTTCCTTTTTTGTGTGTTTCTTTTCTTATAGAGAAAAACAATTTGATCTATGTTCCTTTTTTCATTTTGTTCATGCAAATAAGAAAAGTGATTGACCTTTTACACTAGGGAAACTCATATTCATACAATGTACTTCCTCCGTCAAAGTTTATTTGTTCACTATATAAAAATAGATGTTCACTTTTTAGAAGTGGAGCCGGAATTTCAAGTTTATAAATTCTGAATTTTAGAATAATGACTTTAAAGTGTTAATGACTAGTTCGAAATTGAATATTTGTACATATTTAATGAATTTTAAATACCAAATATATTGTTTGAGCAAAAACTACCACTTTTAATCGTCCAGTTTGGAAAACCAATGAGTAATTTACCATTTTATACTTGTTTTACTCTTATCAATTTTCAATATTTTGGATTTATAATATATAGTTAAATTTAATTTTTCAATAATAATAATAATAAAGTATGATATAATAACATTACTATGTTATTTATTGTTTCTTAAGGAGTGTGCCAAGTCTAGACAAGTGATCTTAGACGGAGGAAGTATTTCTTTTAATCGGAGTTCCCTAAATTATGAAATGATTAGTTGGGATCAAAACTTTTTACATAAATTCTTTAAGATAAGATCATATCTATTCTGAATCACAGATAATGTGACATAGTAATTAAATAGTTCTAAGTGCCACTTTCTTATTTGCTGTAGTTTTTATTTGAAGTCCTAGTTGTACTTTTGCAATGTATAATGCCATTTCTTAAAATAATCACGAGGTTGGTGATTTTATTGGTAGGGTTGGAGCAGGTCAATAGTATCTTTATAAAGATTACTCAAATTAAATTTACAATAATACATGCAACGTGCAACGACAAAATCTTAAAATGAGGGTCTCTATATCTGCTTGAGAAAAATATTGAACTTAGAGCGAGAAGGCAGTACATATTTCCACCAAACGAGAGAGAGAGAGAGAGAGAGAGAGAGAGAGAAGGCAGTACATATAAGGAAGTCCTTTGCAAAATTTGTAAATTCGTTCCCAATCTTTGGTTTGACACGCATTGAGTTCCTTTTAGATCTTTTACTGTTATAAAATTGTCCCTTTTTTTAAACCTTAAGTATCATAATCGCAATTTTTCTCCCCGCCCTCGCAAAATCCTCCATCTTTGGTTTGTAATTTTTTTTAAATCCATTTTAATTGATCTATTCGACTAGGTTAAGACTTAAGAGCATGCTCTTTAGGGAAGTTAGGAACTTATTAAGTAATTACATAATCAATAAGGTAATTACAAGTAACTCTCTTAATAAATATTAATTGATGATCTGCTAATTAAAATTATAATTAACCTGATATTAAAGGTTAAATTCAATAATAAAGAATCTTTATATTATCAGCCATATAACTTAAAAATTCATGTATTATTTTTATAGTTCGTTGGTTAGGACTGCTTGGAGGTAAAGGAGACCAGCTGTGTAAAGGTAAATGGATTAACATTCATTTTTTTTTTTGTTTCTTAAATATTTTTAATATTTTTAAATATTTGTTGCTAGAACTCAGCTAATAGTATTTGTGCAGAATATTTTCTTCAAAGTTGATAATATATTGCTCACTCGGCATTTGGCACCGTTTATCAAATTTTCATCCATTAATTAAATTTTTAGTCATTGATCATTTAGTAGAATTGTTGGAATAGGAGTAACTTGAGCTAAAATAACTAGAGTTAGTAGTTGTAGTTAGCAGTCAACTAGAGTTAGTTAAATAACTAATTATTGGAAGGGTTAGTTGTAGAGTATTGTAGTTAGATCTTGACAGTTGTACATGAGTTGTTAGTTGGTTATAGGGAGTTAACATTTGTATAAATACAAATACAAGGAGAATGAGATTTAAGCTCTTTCAATTTCTGAACATCTTAGCTCATTTGTTCATCTCTCTCTCGTTCATCTCTCTCGATCTCCATTAAAGCAGAACTTGAACTCTGTGGAGAATAGCATAAATTCACATAGTATCAGAGCTTCACGACTGTCAGTACAATCCATATCGATCCTTAGATTCACACTTTACCAGCTAAAGATGGCGACTGACAACACTAAGCCAGAAAAATTGAGCCACAATCATCCGTTGTTTCTGCACTCAACAGACACCTCAGGTACTTTTTTGATATCTCTTCAATTGATTGGACCCGGGAATTACTCTTTGTGGAGTCGTGCGATGCGAATCGCAATCCTAGGTGGGAACAAACTAGGGATCATAGACGACACCTGTAAAAGGAAAAACTTTGGTCCAAATTTGGTCGATTTGTGGGAGAGATGTAATGCGATTGTCCTATCATGGATTATGAACTGTGTGTCAAAGGAATTATACAGTAAGATAATATATTCCAAAAATGCAGCATCAGTATGGGAGGATTTGAAAGAGAGATTTGACAAAATCGACTGTTCTAGAATTTTTCAAATTCATAAGGAGATTTTCACTATTAATCAAGGAACAAGTTCAATTTCTGGTTATTTCTCTAAGCTGCGTTTACTCTGGCCTGAATTTGATAGCTTAGCCCCAATTCCTGGTTACGATTATGCTAAGTCTCGTAAATTTGTAACCTTTATGGAGAGGCTGAAGCTATTGCAATTTTTTATGGGACTAAATGAATCTTATGAGCAAGCAAGGAGCCAGCTATTAATGATGGTCCCAGTACCTTCAATCAACAAGGAATATTCAATATTGATGGAGAGGGAAAGCTAGAGGAACATAACAAATGCGGTGCCCTCAACTGAAATGGGAGAGGCAACAACATTGATGACAACTAGAGGAAATGGATCTGCACAAAGAGGAAAGAAAAATTATAATCTATATTGTGACTATTGCAAACTCAAAGGACACACACATGATGGATGTTACACGCTAATAGGTTACCCTGCAGATTCAAAATACAAAAGAAAGCCCACAGTCACAACTGCACACAATACCATAATAGAGGAGTACAAACCATAGGGCACAGGAGTAGGCAACACTGGTGGTAATGATAGGATCAATATGGATGAGAACATCAGAGGATCCTACTTCAAACCTGAACAATACTCATAGATTCTGAAAATGCTTAGCAAAGACAATATTGTAGAAAATTCAAATGGTAATGGTGTAGTTAGCATGGCTGGTAATGTTACTGCTTTCTTAGAAAACTCAGAGATATGGAACTGGATAGTTGACACAGGAGAAACAGACCATATGGTATCTGATTTAAGTATGTTGAACACTAAAATCAGAAGTAATGACATTAACAAGAAGAGAGTATAATTTCCAAATAGGCAGACCACAACAGTAACACACACTGGTTCATGTAGGCTGACAGATAAGGATGAAATAAAGAATGTTCTATATATACCAGAGTTTAGGTGTAATCTCTTATTAGTATCTAAGCTAACAAAGGAATTACAATGCTTAGTGTGCTTCCTTCCATATATTTTTGCATATTCAAGGACCTTTACAATGGAATGGTGAAGGGGATTGGTAAGGAAAGTGAAGGCCTCTACCTGTTCCTTCACAATACTACAAACAACAACAACAACAACAACCACCCAGTATAATTTCACTAGTGGGGTCTGGGGAGGGTAGTGTGTATGCAGACCTTACCCCTACCCTGGGGTATAAAGGTTGTTTTCGATTGACCCTCGACTCCCTCCCTCCAAGAACTCTCCACTTTGCTCTTGGGGTGACTAGAACTCACAACCTCTTGGTTGAAAGTGAAGGGTGCTTACCACTAGAGCAACCCACTCTTGTCAAAACACTACAAAGAATAACACAATTGAAAGGAGAGGATTAGCAGGAATAAAAGAGAAGGTGGATGTTGAACTGTGGCACAAGAGATTTGGTCATGCACCAGTAGGAGGAATGAAACAATTACTGTCACACATCCTTTTTATGGGGAAAAGACCAAAAGATTTTTTCCAATTTAAGTGACATTATTTGAAAAGGGATTAATTTATTTTATTTTTAAAGAGTCATCACTTGGAATAAATATTTACGGTATCCCAAGTCACCATTTATTTTAAAATCCCAATTCAAGTAAATTAACTCAGTTTAAGTCTGCGAAACACAGAATAGCGGGTAAGAAATTCTGTTGACCCGAAAAAAGGTGTGAGACACTCCCGAGTTCCGTGGTTCTAGCATAGTCGCTTTAATAATTATACATGGCTTAACTAATTCTGGATATTTTATGTTCTAGAAAAATTTATGCACTTTTGCCTTAAAATCGCTTTTAGTTGATTGATTATTTATAATTATGGAATTATCTTGAAACGAATCACGTGTACGTGTATTCGTTTGGTTTGATGTGTCAAGAATTATGTCACGCATACGTGTACAAAATTAATAATACTTTATTATTTTTAAGGTTGTTTCGCTCAAAGTTGCACGAATGCATACCTTGGTTTTAGTTTTGGGAATTATAATTATGTCACGCAAACGTATATATAATTACGATGATTTAATTAATTAAGAGTGCGCCTAAAGCATTCTAGCGCATTCATGATTTGTTTCTTTCCTAAGTTTGAGATTATTGTGAATGCCATCAATTATGGAAT